ACGCGCCAAAAAAAAAAAAAAAAAAAAAAAAAAAAGACTCAAGGGGGGGTTTTCTCCGATACTACCACAAAATCACGTTGCACCACAACGCGATGAGCCTCACCATGCTACGTTAAGTCCACCGCTCCATCCGGTGTCAACTCTACATTCGGCTCAGCATTCATCTTGGACTTTATTTGGTAAAGAAAGTGCACCTTCCAGTTGTCCAACTTGGTGATGCGGTCATACTCGTGCACAACTTCCTCGAAGTATTCTACGTCTTGTTCTGTCACAGCCTCGATAATATTTTCCAGGAACTTTTTCTCCCTCGAATTTAAAAAACGTGGGTCGTTCATGCAGTATTTGTCGATGGAGATTTTCGCGTTGACCAGGTCACCCAGCACGATGTGTAAAATGCCTGCCTTTATGTAGTAGTCCCTCGCGCCGTACTGCAGCAGCGTGCTCTTCAGGGCCTTCTCCGCTTCGTTCTCGAAGATCTGCGTGGGAAAAATGTCAGGGGGAGACACATGTGCGTATATTAACCAACAATCATACATTCGTATGCACACATCATATGTTCATATTTTCGCACAAGCGTGATGGAGAGCACCACACACACCCCTCCATTACTTACCGAGATGGCCTCCTCATGCTGTCCGCTGTACTGCGAACTTAGCTCCGCATACTTCACGATGCACTGTGTGTAGGCCGACCTATGGGAACAGTTGCAAAATGACACACTTGTAATGGGGCCACTAAAAAAATACATTTTCACATGAACACAAGGCGCAAAGTGCAATTTTTTTTTTTTTTTTTTTTTTATTTCTCCTTTTGGCTAGCTGAACAGCTAGCTAACTTATTACTTGGAATATTCGTCCATTTCGAAGTAGTATGCCGCTTTTTTGTAATACTTGGACGCATTGCCATATTCGTACAGGTCTTCATAAATTTCCGCGACGTTTTTTTCGCACTTTCCGCAGTTGGAGAAGCGCCCAATGGCTGCGTACATGTTCACAGCCTGTTCAATATGTTGTATGGCCTCTGCATGGAAAAAAGGGGGGGAGGACGTGCGATCATGATAAAGCTATCGCACAGAGCACACAACCTAGTAACGATGCGCTCAAACCAATCACGTTGCGTTAAAAAAAGCGTGCGTATGCCCAGTTCATACAAGAGGGGTGTGGACACCATACCCATTTTGTCATATTTTTTGGCTATATTTCCCGCTTCCAAGTATGCATTTGCGCAGTAGCTCGTCTCGTTGTTGTTTTTGTGTAGAACGGCGTTCTTCAGGATGCACGACGTGGCCTCCTTCCCTGCAAGGTGGGTCGTTGCCCAGAGGGGGGGGGCGGGTGAATGAGAAGCAATGCTAATGAAGGGCAGTGACAACTAACGGTGGGGTCAACGAGTCCACCGCTGTACAACATAAACACACGTGCGCGCTGCAACACACCCCGTCCCGTCTCAGCCCAAAATCGCTCACAAAAAAAAAAAATGCTTCTTTACATTTGTGGCACAGCTTGTACTTGTTGGCTGCCAAGTTGTAGCAGTTGATCATTTCGTCCGTGTTGTCGGCCCCAAAAAAGGAAGAGAGGAATCCCTTCTTGTTTAGCTGTTCGGCCTTCTTTTCCAGCTCCCTTGCCTCGTATTCCATTGTATGTTCGTGGGAAGGATCTTCTCAACATGTACAACTCACAACGCCTTCGGCCGCGAATCGGCGTGTGTTCTTTAAGCGCGCAACGAAGGCGCGTATCGTACACGTTATAAGCGAATTCGTTATGGGGAAAAAATGGCGATCTCGAAATGACATCGAACGTTCACCTTAATTTTGCCATGATCTTACTTTTCCTGTCATCCTCTCTTACGCAATGGTGATTTAAGCAGCGTAGAGTAGTACGCTTTGGCAATATTCCGCCTAATTTTTTTTTTTTTTTTTTTTTTTACCATTTGGCTGCCTGCATATGCGTTATTTTTCCTATCCGTGCCCAATTCTGGCACAACTTTTTGCCGCATTCACAAGAGCTGTTTAATTTAACTACAAACCGGCACAAAACAACTCTTTCAATACCATTCTTTTTCCAAGTCTCAGGAATTTTTTATATACAATTAGTTTTGTCACCCCGGATGTGATTCCTCTTTCAAATTTTCCTTGTTTGATGAAAAACTTTACAAAGTTTGTGTTCCACAATATTACCTGACTGTTCAGGCATATTTTTGAGGAGACTGTTTTCCACATCGACTTTTCCCCGGTGAGGGGAAAATATAGTCATTATGTATATTTTTGAAAGGGCAAATATATATGTAAAATAGCTTTATTACTCCTTTTTTTTTTTTTTTTTCACGTGCTATGCACGGTGTGACACGTCTCTCCCTTTATAAGGTTTTATCGACTTCATCTTTAGAGTCCACCCCCTTTTCCCCTTTTTTTTGCGACAAATGGATGGGGGGCAAGTCACGTATGGAACGAAGTTGTGTGCATGTGCAGTTAGAGATACTTCTACACAGCTGCATGACGGTGTGGAGACGTTGAACAGACCAGACCACCAATGAAAGTTCCCCACCTGGACAGCCACACCGAGTTGTTAAATGGGACAAGGTGTGGTTACAAATGTGTCTCTTCTTTAACGAAAAAAAAAATTTACTTCTAAGAAAGACCATAAAATGACGTCCAAATTAAAAAAAAACACAATGGCTAACAGACTCATCCAGCCTTTATAATATACAACGGAAAAAAAAAATATGTACATATATATTCCCCGTAACCATTTTCACCTGAACGGTTCAGGCAAAAATGAGTAAAAAAAGGGGGTCCAACCCTTGTTGAGGCAAACTGAATAATGTTTTTTTTCTCTCTTCCTTTTAAAGGGAGAACATAACTGGTGGGTACGTCAAAACGCTATCGATATGTACGCGCAAAATGAGGTTTTCTTCCATACGTGTAGCATGCCAAGTGGGGGTAATTTTTCTTTTCTCCCTTTGTTGGACCCCTACACACACACCACGGATGGTTACACTTGTAACTCCCCCACTTCTCGCACCTCTCAAATTTCCAACTGGGGAAAATAACACCCCCACCCCCTGCTGCGCCGTAACATTTGGGAAAATTAAAAATGAACGAGCATGTTAGTGCTTAAAAAAAAAAGCGTGAACCCAGTTGTGAATCTCCAATCTTTCTCATTCATGCCGGGTGCTATCCTCCCACACATACACACACTGTTCTTCCCCCCGGTGCCACCATAAAAACGCATTTGCGAAACACATTTACAACTGCCAATACGCGCTCTTCTTAGTATTAAGGTTGGCGAAAGAGGTCAGGTCAGTCGGGGCGGCTCACTCCTGGGAGCACTGCGCGTGCGTGTGCCAGCATGCATTATGACACAACACACACGGAGCGTACCTCCAGCACTCGGTAAAACGGTTGAGCTTCTCTCTCCAGACTGAGGCAAGAAAGGGGGGGGTTCCCAATGCGACGCTCCGACCTCGCGTGAACTTTATGTAGGCACACGTAAGGGTATGTAAGTGTGTATTTATGATTTTTTTTTTTTTTTTTTTTTTTTTTCATGCTTCCCTCCTTGGAAAACTTGAAGCCCACTTTCCCCATCTCCATTCTACGCATCAGCGCAACCGATTTTCCCTCTCCCTCCTTCCCCTTCTTATCCTCCCCGTGAAGGCCCCTTGAATGGGGATCCCAAGACAGGAAAATACGGGAGGGGGACGGTTAAATTGTCGACGCCGTCGCCCGGGAGTCTTGCGCGGAGGGATCTCCACGCACACACGGAAAGAGAGTGTACACGCCGGTACGGCTAACAGGAGGGAGGAAAACAAAAGCGAAAAAAAAAAAAAAAAAAAAGGGCGAACCTAATAAAGGATAAGCTAAGCAAAGTTATACACACCTGAGCGAAGGATAATAAGTGCGTCCATGTGCTAGAGAGTTGCGGATCAGTACCGCCCTCTCTGAACGCGCCAAGAAAAAAAAAAAAAAAAAAAAAAAAAGTCTCACCAGCGCCATCCGTAAGGGTACCTACGGGAGCATCACCACGAAAGAGGGAACCCACGAGGGGAAGGCCCAGTACAAGACCATTGCGAAGAGTCTCTAAGGACTCCCGCGCGGTGCACGTGAAACGAAAGAGGTGCAACTGCAGGCCAAGTTCAGACGCTACCGCTTAAACGCTACCGCTTAAACGCTACCGCTTAAACGCCGCCAACATGAGAGACGTCGTCAGCGTCGTGGAGGCGAAGGAGCTCTTGGCTGAAGACGATGCAGCGAACGAACAGACGCTAAGCATCATGAACGAAGGGGAAGCAGAGCGCTCAGCAGAATACCATTTGTCCAGCGCAGCGGAGAAGGACGTCACGGGCGGATTAAGAAGACACACGCTGAGCACAGAGAAGAGGAAAGGCTCGAGGATAATAATTGACAGACTCATATTAGAAAATTTTAAAAGCTACTCGGGAGTGAAGGTCATTGGACCCTTTTACAAAAAGTTCAGTTGTATCGTGGGTCCGAATGGAAGTGGGAAGAGCAACATCATCGACGCCATGCTGTTTGTGTTTGGTCGTCGCGCGAAGAAGATCCGGCAGAACAAGTTGTGTGATCTCATTCACAGCTCCAAGTACTCCATGCACAATGAGTACACGAAGGTGTCCATCCAGTTCAGGACCATCGCGGAGGAGGGGGGGGGAGAGAAGTGGCAGGAGACGGCCCACCCCTCCACTGCACTACCCGACAGCTTCACCATCAGCAGGGAGGCCACAGCAGATAACCAATCGAGGTACCGCATAAACGACAAGGTCGTGACACAGAAGGAGGTGTTCGACCTGCTGCTCCACCACGGAATAGACCTCAGGAACAATCGCTTCCTGATCCTGCAAGGGGAAGTAGAACAAATCTCACAAATGAGCCCCAAGGGAACGAAAAACGAAGAAGGGCTCCTTGAATATTTAGAAGAAATCATAGGTACCAACTGTTACATAGAAGGAATAAACAAAAGCTTAGAGGAGTTGGAGAGGTGTGAAGAAGTATATCAGGAGAAGGTAAATCGACTCAAACATGTGTATAACGAATTAAAAGAACTAGCTGGACCCAAAAAAGAAGCAAAGTATTATGTGCAACTACAAAAATTTACATACAAGCTACACATATTAATAGTTAAAAAAGACAAACATGAATTAGCTAAAAAAATTTTAATAAAAGAAGAAGAGTTAGCCAAGTATATGAAAGAAAAAAAACAACACAATATTGTATATGCAGAATTACTTAAGGAGAGAAAAGAAATGAATACTGTTTTAGGTGTTCTCGAACATGAAGAAAGTGAAATTGTAAAGAGTAAAAATAAAGTAGATAATGAATTCAAACTGTTAACAACTCAGCATGAAAATGTAAAAAAAGAAATTGTAATTGTCGTACAAAAGATACAAAACCTTTATGTTAAGAGAGAACAACTGAGGGAAAAAGATATACCTCTTTATAAAAGCATTATTGAAGATAAACAGAATATTTTAAATGGTTTGAAAAGAGAAGCGATTCCTAAATTGGAGAGACAACTCGAGAAATGTGAAGAGGAAATGGAAAGGTACAATGAAGAAATAAAAATGGACACAGATAAAATTAATACCATTTATTCAAATGAAGAAAAAAAATTAGCTCCTCTTCAAAAGACCTATGATGATATGGTTAAAGTTACATCTGAGTATAATAACAGATGTAACCTCATAGAAAAGAAGCAAAAGGAATTTTTAGCTCACGAAGAAAAGTTAAAATATGTACAGGGAAAAGTGTTAAATGAAATGAAGGAATTGGATGTACAGTTGAAACATATGAACAAAGTGGAATTAGAAAAAAAAAAAATTTTACATGAGAAGGAGAGACTGCTAACTGAGGTAGATAATGAAACAGAACAAGTGACAAACAAACTTGTTAACCTAACAGTTATGTATGAAACGATGAAGAAGGATTTTAGTACAGATAAAAGTATGAACAAGTTACATGAACTCATATACCATTTGAAGAAGACAAAGATTAAAGGGATTCATGGCATGCTTGGAGATTTGGGTTCCATAGACCCAAAATATGAAAAAGCTTTTCTTATCGCAGGGAATAATTGTACCGACTTTGTGGTGGTGGACAAACCACATGACGCTGTGTTACTCTTTGAACAAATGAGGAAACATAACTCAGGACGAGTAAATGTTTTGTCTCTCTCCATTTTAGAAAATAATTTATTACCAGTGATGAAAAAACAGGAGGAAAATTACACCCCTCTCCTTCCAAATGTACACAGACTTATTGACTTCATTCGGTTTAAAGAGGACAAATACAAAATCTGTTTCTACTATGCTGTTAAGGATACCCTCGTGGCGAACACCCTGGAGGAGGCACACGTGATAGGATATTCTCACAAAAGGAGGGTCGTGACTGTAGGGGGAGAGCTTATCGAAAATGATGGTCGAATATGTGGTGGAGGTGTTATGAACAAACAAGGGAAAGAGTCAAGTGGTGAGTCAGGGAGAAGATCATCTGCGCGTAAGAGTTGCGGAAGCGGAGGTACAACAGAAGGCAGTGAAGAGACTGAAGCGACCAATACATTCTTTAGAGCAGAAGCTGCCCCATCTCAGTATGACCAAAAGGATGTGGACAAAACTGAAAGAGACATTAAAGAGGCAAACAAACATATGGACCAGCTGAAAATGAGAAAGGCAAATCTCCTCAACGAAATAAAAGAGGTTAAAACACTCATTGAAGATAACGAGTGTAAGGTTGAAATTGCTAAGAAGAGAATTGAAAATTGTAAAAAGCAACTGAAGGATATTGAAGGGCAGCTACAAAATTCAAATGTACCTGAACTCACTCCGGAAGAAAAAAGAGAACTCGAATCGATTAAAGAAATGATAGAAGAAAAAAATAACGAGAAGAATAAAATTGAAATTCTACTCAAAGCACAAGAAAGTAAAGTCAAAATGTATTATGAACAACTACAGAACGTTGGAGGAGAAAAGAAAAAAACACTTAAAAGTAAGTTTTTGCATGCGGAGAGACAATTAAATATTACAAGGGATGAAATTGCTAAGCACAGCAGTGAAGAGGTGAATGCCCTGGCCAATTTACAAAAGGGAGAAAAAGACATACTTAAATTTACAGATGAGATTGAGGAATATGAAAAAAATGAAAAGGAATTGGAGAATGAGTTGAAGGATCTTGAAGCAAAAGGGAGTATCGTTTATGAACAAATTGAACAGATGGAAAAGGAGCTGAACAAAGTGCAAGCCCAAATGGAGCAGAACCAAAAGAAAAAGCAACAAATCGATGAGAACGTTTCTAAGAAGGATCTAGAGAATGTGGATCTAGTGTACAAGACAGAACATTTACAAAAAGAAATTGAGCAGCTGAGACTCAGGGGTGTCGCTTATGAAGGGAAAATTGAGGAGTACACGCGCCTCATCGAGCAGGCCGACCGGGTCGTCGTGGAAAACAGGCGGTGTCGCGCCAGCTCAGGGGAGGAGGACAGCCAACACGGTAGTGGTGGTGGTAGTGATGGCGGTAGTGGTGGTGGTAGTGATGGCGGTAGTGGTGGTGGTAGTGATGGCGGTAGTGGTGGTGGTAGTGATGGCGGTAGTGATGGCGGTAGTGATGGCGGTAGTGATGGAGGAAGTGATGGAGGAAGTGATGATGGTAGCGAAGATGGAAGTGGCGACGGGCGCGACCACGAACGCGATGATGGAAGCCGTGATGCACGCGAGCGAGACCAGGACCAGGATGAGGAACTCAAAGCCCTGGAGGACCTCGCGTGCGACCATGAAGACTGGACCGATTTAGAAACCGAGTACAATTACGCAGACGTCACGGAAACGCAGCTGCAAGACATGAACAGAAAGGAAATGGAACACAAATTAAACAGCAAGCTACTCTTGTTGCAAAAGAAGGCCCCCAACCTTAAGGTCTTCAAAGACTACAATGTAAAGCTGTATGATTATATGAAAAGGAAAAAGGATGTACACAAGTCGAGGAAGAAAAAGGATAAATTAAAAAAGCATTACGATAACCTATGCAATAAAAGAAGGAAGGAATTCCTTCTCGCATTCAATATTATATCGGCCAAGCTAAAAGAAATGTACCAAATGATAGCTGTAGGTGGAGATGCTGAATTGGAAATAATTGATTCTTCTGAAATTTTTAATGAAGGAATTCTTTTCTCTGTTCGACCTCCAAAAAAAAGTTGGAAGCATATACAGAATCTTTCAGGAGGAGAAAAAACTCTCAGCTCCTTAGCTCTTGTCTTTGCTCTTCATTACTTCAAGCCAAACCCAATTTACTTCATGGACGAGATCGATGCTGCACTCGACTTCAAAAATGTTTCTATCATTTCACACTACATCAAAACCAAGACTAGCGATGCCCAGTTCATTGTCATTTCTTTACGAAATCAAATGTTCGAGCTTTGTGATAGGATGATCGGTATCTACAAGACAAATGACATAACCAAATGCATCACTCTTAACCCGGGTCGGTTCCAGGGCGATCAGCACGGGGGCCAACAGGGAGCAGCAGGAGGAGAACAACAGGACGCAGAGGAAAAAATACACGAGCAAGCCAATCCCTACGTCGCGGTGACGATGTAAACCAACGCCTGCGTATGTGCCTGTCGCTTGCCTTACCTGGCCATTGCATAGCGCCACCGCGAGGCCACACACACGCACGCGCAATCTCACGCACACAATAGAGTAGCCGTTTTAAATGGCTAGTCAAAAGGATAAACGTGGAAATTTTTTTTTTTTTTTTTTTTTTTTTTTTTATAACATGTATGTCCCTCACGTCATTCCCCAAAGAGACTTGTCTCCATTTGTCTAACTTTTCTCCCCCCTACCACAGGGACAGGAAAAAAAAAAAAAAAAAAAAAAAAAAACTCTTCCTTTACCGTGCGCCCCGCAAAACGACGCGACGTTGCATGCGTCCGCATCTGCGCAAACGCGACCCCGTACGCTGACCACATGGAGGAGGAAGAGGTCGTGGGAGCCGCGCATGGGGCGGAGAAGCTCATGACCTACGAGGAGGTGAAGAAAATATGCAGAGGTGGGTTTGTGTAAGGCAGCTGCAGTGGTGGGTTGGCCGGGCAACCCCACGTGTAGCGTGGCTTTTGCGCTTCCCCACAATTGCCTGTCTCTCTCCCCCCTCCCCACCCCTCCAGAAAGCAACCTGTACGAAACGGACGAGTTGAACGAAGTGCTCTACCTACACATGAAGGGCTTTCATAACATCGGTGGCCTGGCATCCTTCGCCAACCTCAAGTGCCTCTTCCTCAACAACAACTGCATAAAGGAGATTCAAAATTTGGGAGCACTCGTCAACCTGCGGGCCCTGTAAGGAACAGAGCAAGCATATGTACACCTACAAAAAAAAAAAAAAAAATAGTAGCTCTACTCTGCTCCTCCTCTCCACATGAGAGGGAAGTATCCCCACCCCCCCTTACTACAGGTACCTCCAAAACAACGACATCAGCTCCATTCAAAACTTAGAGTGCACCTCCCTGGTGATTTTAAATTTGTCACACAACAGAATTAGGAGACTTGAGAACCTCGGCCACCTCAAGGGGCTCCAAACCCTCAACGTCTCTCACAACCTGCTCGAGCAGATCGAGGTGGGGAACGCAGCGCAGACAAAGGAGCGTCAACATGGCTGCGCCGACATGGCAGCGTGCACATAGCAGCGTGGTCGCTGTTCTCCCCTCGTAGGACATCGCGGAAGTTGCAAAACTGCAGAACCTCTCCCACCTAGACCTGTCGGACAACCACTTGAACTTCCACGATGGGATAGACTCTGATCGACTCAAGGAATTTGTTCACAACGTGGAGGAGGAGGAGGCGGGGGGCGCTTCTTCTGGTATCCTTCACCATTTGGGGGAAGAGGACAAGGAGGCAATGCGACCTGACGAGGCTACCACGCACGGTACAGCCACCCCCCTTGATGAATTTTTACACCTCCGTGAGGACTCCCCAGAGGACGCGTGCAAAAAGGAATCCCCCCAACGTGTGAAGTACCACCAAAATATCGCGCCGATGGACCAACTGACACGAAAAAAAATTTCATTTCTGTGTCAACTCATCATTCTGTTAAGACAGCTGGGGAAGTTAAGAACTCTCCTCGTTAAAAACAACCCCTTCGTGAGCAAAATCAGGCACGCCTCTAGGTACCTAGTTGCGAGTAAGTCCTGCACGCGGTGTGGGCGTGACAAAGTGTAACACATTGTGTGTGGCGAGGCGTTATGCATTGCGCACGGTGCCACTCACATCGCTCGACGTATGCCACCCCACGCAGACGTGCCCAACCTGATCTTCCTCGACGACAAGAAGATAAAAAAGGAGGATGTCTGCCTGGCGAGGATTTTTTTGCAAAGGGGACCCGCGCAAGAGATGGAACTGAAAAAAATATTCGAGAAAAGAAAATTGGACAAGTACAAAAACTTAACGGAAAAGTTTCATGCCTTTCTGATGGCTCAAAGTGGAGGCTCCTGACGGGGTGACCAGAGAAGAGAAGAGACGTTCCCTCCACAATCGTTTCACTCACCTGTATTTTTGTTTGTTGCACCGCAAGAGGGAGAATGCAACGCCCGTTTATTTATCATTTTTTTTTTTTTTTTTTTTTTTTTTTTTATTCCTCCTATTGAGAATATGACCCCGTCCAGCTGTTTCGCTCATATGGGGGAAAAGCACAAACCACGTCTTTGCAACGTTGTAGAGGGGGTTACTGTGTAAAGGAGTTGCACCTTTTCGAATTGTTTTATTTTATTTTATGTTATTTTTTGCATGACGGCCGCGAATAATACTACATCCACAATGGAAATAAAAAAACAGTGGAGGAAATTAATTCCAACTTTGTTGCACACATGGGTCAGGAAAAAAAAAAAAAAAAATAGCGCAGCGAAGCGAAGCGCGGAACTTCACCGAACTGGCGAGATAACTTAACAAAAGAGGGAGAGACTCCCACCGGTGGTGGGTACTGCGTGGTGGGTCTTCTTGTGCCTCCCCACATTTCACTTAACCATCCCAGCTCCGATCCCCTTGTCCGTGAAAAGACCCTCCTCCTTCATTTTGTTAATCTTTTCAATGTACTCATTTTTTATAGCTACTTCTCTTTCGTCTTCCTCATCCTCTTCATTTGTTTTGGCGTGCTTTTCCTTTTTGTCGTTCTCTGCTTCAGCGTCCTCTTCATCATCCCCCTGCTGGGAAGACGTCTTCCTGGACTTCTTTTTCTTTTTCCCGTCTGTTCCCTCAGCCTCCTTTATCTTCCTCACCTTTTTTTTCTTCTGGAGCGCTAGCACCTGCACAGGGCAGGTCGGTAAAAAAAAAAAAAAAAAACGGCTCAGCAGGAATTGCAAACGTGATATATGTACACAAGGCGATGATGGAATGTGTCCTCATACAAAACAAGCTTGCCAACACACAGTGGAGAATTGGGAACGGGAAAAAAAAAATATGAAAGTAGTGGAGTGGAGACCATGAACGAAATTGGAACAGCTTTTATCACACTATGTATGTCCTTTGCGCATTTACAACAATGTTCTCGCTCGACAGGGGGAAAACATCATTTGCGACATCCTTTGCCACCTCTTTTTTACTCACCTGAGCCAAGAACGAGCCGTCGTTTTTGAACTTGTTGTACGTCTTGGGGTCTACATAACCCTGTGTGGGGCCGCTTCCCTCTTCATTCATGTTAGTGCCGGTGGACGTAATCCCATGTTCTTCTTTATCATCGTCCGCTTTCATTTCTTCCACTGGCTGATCGCCAAGCGAGTCATCGTCCTTTTTTTTCCCTTTCCCCTTTTTTGCCATCGTTGTGCTTCTGGAGGGCTTTTCCTCTCAAGGGTTATGCAAATGGGTTGGGAGGAAAAGAACACTGCTTAGCGACAGAACGGATTGGCTGCTAAAAGCCCAATGGGATAGGGAAAAAAAAAAAAAAAAAAAAATTCTGAACAAGTCATACAAAAAAAGGCATATTTTTTTTTTTTTTTTTTTGGTGCAGTTCATTTTATGCCCTCTCGTGGTCCATTACCACCCCGCGTTGGGGGAAAAAAAGGTTTTCTGCCTTTTCTCCACAAGCTATATACTCTCCCGCGCTAGTGTTATCCATTTAACACGTTTGTGTTCCTGAAGCGGGAATACAGAAAAGGCACAAGTTGAACGTGTACATGCGCTGGCGTAATTGTCCTCTCGCCAATTGGCTTTTCTCTCCCGTGAATATAAAAAGGACACCACCCCGTTGGAAAAAAAAAAAAAAAAAAAACAATCCCGTTTGAAACATATAAATTGGTGGGGGGAGAAAAGCACAATTACCAAAAAAAGGCCCTACCGCGCATATAGCCCCTTTTTTCGTGTGAAATGTGATTGGGAGTAAATTTCCTGTTCGTGTCATAAGGGACAGACGGGTACTTGACTCAAAACAAATTGTGAACAGGGGAAAAAACGAATCCGTTGGCTGGCCCCGCGCGCAGCAAAGATAAACCGTTAAGGATGCACCCTATGTGTGTGGAGGGGTGTAGGACAGGACCTACCGGTGGAAGTATACCCTCTACCTCTTAACGATGGAGCAGCAGGGTTGTGCTGTGTACAGTATCACTGCAAAGCGGAACAACGGAACGACCGAACGACAGAGGGGGCCCACCCTGATCACTCCGCGTGAATGCTCCCAATTAACAGGGGGTGATAAGTGTACCAAGGCATACACATAGGTGCGCCCGCCACATGTACTACATATGTACATATATATATATGTATATATATATTTTTTTTCTTTTAAAAAGTTGAAGTTGTCGCAGAGGGGTACGAAATGGGCACAAAGCGGAATTGCCAGCTCGGCCGTATTCGTCAGGAAAAAAAAAAAAAAAAAAAAAAAAAAAAGGGACAAATGTCACGAGCGACATGCGAAATGCCAAATGTAAAGTTTGGCCGCTCAGGCGGATCCCTCGATGTGCGTCACGATGTCAGCAACGTTCGTGCCAACCTTGATGGGCTTGCCAAAGAAGAGACTGCTGGAGGCGGTCGACAGGTAATCTGCGAAGAGGGTAGGGTGGGGAAAAAGAAAAAAAAAGGGCAATGAGCAAATTTTGCACACGCGTAAAAGAACGCTTGCATACACACACGTCTGCACACGATTGTCCACTTACCAACTGAGTTGTGCACGCAGCCCTGCGTGAGGAAGTTCGTAGCGCACTCGAAGCTCATCTTGTGGAAGACGTTGCGGAAGGATCCCAGTCCGTGTCTGCTGAACGATTTCAGGTCACCTAAAAAAAAAAAAAGAAGCAGCATGTATATATGAGTCGGAAGATGAATGTAAAGCGGTTTTGAATGGAGATGAGGGGCGTGGTTCCCCCACCCGCTGCCACTTCCGCTGCCACTTCCGCTGCCACTTCCGCTGCCACTTCGGCTGCCACTTCCGCTGCCGCTTCCGCCACCACTGCCACCGCCACTTCTTTTCTCCTTACCCGTGTGGGTCATAAAATCGCTAATGAAGGACAGGTGACGAAAGTCAATCTGAATTCCGTAGGCTTCAAAAACTTTCTTCAGCTCCTTGGTAATGCAAAGTCTGCCGGCCTCAATTCCATACGTCTTCACGATGGTGTAAATGTCGTTGCAGTACAATTTAGTTTTGTCAATGAACTTATCCTTGATGTTATAAAGTTTGAAAATATTTTTTCCTTCAATCTGTAATTCATACTCAGCACCGGTGTGCGTTATATCTTTCCCCTTAAGCACTTTAGGGTTGTTGAGATCCTTCACTTTAAAAAGAATTTCTTTCGCCAGTTCTGTCTTGACGTAACTTAAAAAGTCAATCGGATGAGGGAAGAAATTAACATTCCATCCGATTTCAAATTTTAAGATCCAGGTCACTGGGGAAAAACTTATATTCTTTATGAAGCATAATAAGCTACACTTCAATTTTTCAATTATACTTTTTACCCATTTTTTATTTTCATTTTTCATTTTTTCTGTTCCGTATTCTCTGTCCATTCTTTCATCGTCTTCCTCCTCGTCATGGTCGTTTTTTAAATTCACGTTATTTTTATAATCATATGGAAGATTTGCAAAATCTTTGGCGATTCGTTTTTCCCACTCCTCTTCATCTTCTTGCTTGTCTTCATTTTCATCATCACGGTAAGGTACTTCTCCATCGCAATTTCCTACTCCTGGGTGGTCATCTGACTGGTTCGCACTCTCCTCTGTGTAAGGTTCTTCCCCCAGCCGCTCCGCCGATGTGGATCTTTCAGACAGGGGGGACCCGTTCGTCTTGCCCTTCTTGCAACTCTCTTCCGCGGGCACCTTTCTGTCGCTCGTCCCTAAACCCTGGCCAAACTCGTCGTCCTCCGCTTCCTCCTTCAGCGGGTCCTCCTCGTTGAGCGACTCCTCCTCGCTATGCTGCTCCCCCTCACTGGTAGCCTCCTCCTGCTCGATGGCAGCCTCCTCCTCCTCCTCTAAGTCCCCTTCGCTTCTCTCACTTTCGTCGTAGTCTTTATCCTCCTCAGAGGGAGAATCTGGGTCTCCATCCCCCTCCTCCTCCGATTCACTGCTGCTGTGTTTTTGCCCTCCATCCTGCGCGCCATACCCATCTTCTGCCTCCTCCTCCTCGGTGTCATTTCCTTCACCATCATCGTGACGGTGATCATTGTCGCTGTCACGTGCAAACGTGTTTCCATCCATGTGGTCACTTAGCACATCTTCTTCTCCTTCATTCTCATAGTTCCTCGAAGCACCTGCTCCACTGGCCCCTTTGGCAAAGGCACCCACCGCCCCATTGTTATAATAGTCTTCCTCCCCTATATGATTTTCATCCCGTACGACATCCGCATCGGCCTCGTTTGTGGCCCCAGTAGGTCCTCCTCTCGAAGACATCAATTTTAATTTAGCATTAATTTTATCCTCGTCATTCTTATATTCAAACTTTTGTACGTTAAAATTAAACTCCTCTTTCATCTTGGCGCAAACGAATTCAAACAGCTCATCGTAGTGTTCATGGTTGAAGGAGTGCACGTGTCGCATGTTATAAGTGAGTAGGCTCTCCTGAATTTTATTAAGAACTGAACACAAGACACAGTTGACTGCTCTACTTAAAATGATTTGTATAGTTAAATGATTATTCACTTTGCAGAAGTGGTCTAGGTTTTCAAATTGAATAACAATCTCGTACTTCCATTCCTTCTCCACTTCAAAACTCAGCTGTGTGTTTTGTAATGCGTTCATAACTTTCGCTGCTTGTACATCTCCTCCATCTGAAGCGGCACAAGTATCGTACTGTTGTTCTTCCCCCTTCATGCTAACCACTTGCAGATTGTGTATGCGAGCCTCTTTTTCCCCTGCTTCACGCAGAATCAATTTGCGATCTACACCTACCCCATAAATCACATCACTAAGACAAATGCTCTTGTAGGTACTTAAAATTTGATCTGCAATTTCGTTAATGTAATTCTTCATCGCATTTGCATCAGTGGTAGTGGTACCACCACCTTGTGGATCCATTTTAATGGGTACATATATCATTGGCTTAGAGGTTAACTTTGACGATAAAAAAATTTCTTTCAGTCGAGGAATTCCCATGGTAACGTTTTCTGTTCCAGCCAAGTGAAATGTGTTCAGAGTCATTTGCGTGGCGGGTTCACCAAACGACTGAGCCACCAAAATACCAATCGACTCACCAGGGTCACACAACGATCTGAAGTACTTGGCCTTGAGCAGGGATGCAGATTGAGTGTCAAACTGTTCAGGTAAGTTATAACAGTCTGCAAGATTCAAATCTTTAGTGATGGTATGGTGGAGCTTCTCTCGGAAGCGCTCAGATGTGGCCCCCATGTAGGAGTAGGGCGAGAACTGGGTCTCGAGCGGGTCGTCACCACCGCCATCACCATCCAGCCCGTTCCATCGGTCCATATCGCCAAAGAGACGCTCATTCCTCTGCATCCTGTCCACCGCATCGTGCAGGAGATACTTGCTGAACGAGACATGGTAATTGTTAATAAGGTCTTTTGGTGCATCCAGGTAAGAAATCCTCGAAGGGTCTATACCATCCTCTCCATATAAAAATTGAATAATTGAATTGTCTTCATTTCTCACGGTACCATCGTAATGAAGGATAACGGACTCCATGCATTTAATTAAGCACCTCTGAATATAACCCGACTTGGCTGTCTTCACTGCTGTGTCGATAAGGCCCTCTCTGCCTGACATGCAATGGAAAAAATACTCTTGTGGTCTAAGTCCTTCTAAAAAGCAATCTGTTATTAACCCACATGCTCTAGCACCATAATCATATCTGTGGAAGCTAGGTAAAGTTTTCCCGGACCTCATCCTAGGGACTCTCTTCCCTTCTAAGTATTGTTGATCGAGCATCCCACAGATCATGGCATAATTCACTTTACTTCCTTTCGCACCTGTAAATATCATGTTACTAAATCCATTGTTCAAAAATTTATTCATTAAATTATTCATTGAAATTAGGTTGTTGGTGTTTGAAGACACACGACATAGGTAGGGTTGGAAGAGCGAGTCGATTACTCCGTCAAACTCGCCTCTCATTTGGAGGAAGTATGTATGAATAAGAAATTCTAATTTGTTAAATACATCTTTCATGTTATAAAATTGAAACATCGTGTCCTCTTCTGTTCCTTTTTTATTCACACAATCTTCATAATAATGGTCTTTTCCATTGAACGATAAATTTCCTATCTCCTCGTTCAATATAAAGGAAGGGAAGCTTTTCTTTAAACAATCTTTTATCACTTGTTCATCCTGTTCGTTTATACAAAAAAGGGGGGGTTCATCACGCTTTTCATAGTACTTGTCTTCTCCTTTTTTCTCTTGCTCATCTGTACTGTTCCCTTCAAAAAACCCTCGCCCATCATCTTCCATATCCTCCAACAGGCGTAAAAATTTGTTTAGCATTTCCTCAGTAGCCACCCCACTTCCTTCCCCCTCCCCTTGCTTCACTCCCTCCTGAGCTCTGTCCACATTGACGCTACTCAGCACGTGGTGCAAGATTTCCTCATTGCTCACGTCGTGGGAGAGGTCGTTGACGCAGCTAGCCAGTGCAGGGAAGTGCTTCAACACACTTCTACTTTGAAACAACTCAAATAAGATGTACACCTTTAGTCTCCTGCTGCAGTTGGCTCTCTTCAAAAAACGAACGACCTTTTGTATCACCTTGGTGGCCTTGTCCCCTACAAAGTTGGGGCTGACCATGAAGCGGGGTTCGCTTAACGACCGGAACAGTTTCCTCAGTAGGGTGTTGCGGCGGATGTTTGGCAGGGGTCCCTCCCCCTTCAGCTTCTCCCCTTCCTCATCTTCATCCGTTTCGTCGTCCGTTTCTTCACCCTCTTCACCCTCTTCTTCGGCGTGGTGGTTTCCATGACGAGAGCGCCTGTTGATGATTCTGTCAATCGCGCGCTGCACGAGGGAGGAGGAGGAGGAGGAGTGGGGGGTCTCCTTCCCCCCTGAACCCTGCGCCAACAGGTTCTGTATTTCTTTATTGAGCAGGGCGGCAAAGTAGGCCTCTTCCTTTACATCTAGGTGTTCCTCAGACGGAAGCAGCTTCTCACATTGGTGTGTCTCACTCGAGTGCCCGTTCTGTTTCTTGTTCCCCTTGTCCGTGGGCAGCGTGTTATTCTGTACGCAACCCTCCCCAGGGCAATCATTCATAAAATCACCCCTGCGCTTGTACATATTATACAAGTTATTCACAAAGAGGTCGTTGTTCTCGCTATACGAATTCAACTTACTCCTACTGTAAGCATTCATCTTGTTCACATCTACATTAAGAGCCTTGGCTATGGAGTGGGTAAATAAATTTTGTAAGTAAAAACCGGTGAAGGAGATCCTCTTTCGTATATTAACTTTTTCTTGCCTGGCGTCCTTGTTCAAAATAAAATCGTATAGGCTAAGACTTGTGCCACGCAATTGTAAGAAGCTAATGAAGAGCCTACCAAAGCAGTCTAGGATAACTGCTGCTGTCTTGGGGCCAAATAATTCATAACACAGATGAACAAAACTGTTTGAGCTAGCTCCAAAATGAAGTTTGTCCAGCACTCCTTGAAGTAACTCGGAGTTTCTAATTATCACATCACACTCGTTTATAGGATCAAAGGACCACAGGGATGGATCTGTCTTAGCCTTAGCATAATAATTAATCCCTTTATAATTTTTCATGAATTCATTATCCCTCCTCTGATCATATGTCTCCACAGCAACTCGATCTAGAACGGTTTTCAATATACTCGTGATTAGCTGTTTGCCGGTCCATAGTTTGCGCGGGCAGAGAATGGCGGGCTCCTCCGTGACGATGGTAAAGTGGGTTCTGTTTAGCACCACGGCGTATGGGTCCAGGTAGCTGTGGTTTCGTATTTTCCAGGTGGTTTGTGTGGGTTGTTGCGTCTTCCCCGGCGGAGCAGACGCGTCATCGTGCTGCACACACTTTTCTCCCCGCACGCAGCTTTCTCCTTGGGTGGCCTCTTCTGACTGCACGGTGTTGCTGCTACCCCCCCCGCGTGCACCACTGACTTCCCTCCTGGAGCGCGTCTTTTCAAAGAAGAAGCAGTCCTTCCTCGAGAGCAAACAGTTGAGGGCACACTGCAGCAGGTTGCAATACTCATCGTAGTTGAGGAACGTCTCAAGGGAAGTCAAGTGGAGTCCCCCCAAAATAAAATCCTGTGCTAGTCCCCTCAATGGAGCTCCATCTTTAAAACTTGTGAATAAAAAATCGCTGTTCATAAGGTGAGTTGCTTCCGACCTTGCATGTGCAGTTTGCAGCAGATGTAAATTCATTTCATCTCCATCAAAATCAGCATTATAAGAACTACAATTAACATAATTTAAACGAAAAACTTTTTCGCTCTGAAAAATTTTCATAAAATGAGCCATGATGGAAAATTTGTGTAAGGTCGGTTGTCTATTCATAATAACAATGTCTCCATCTCGTGCATGCCTATGCAATACGAGTGTTGACGATTGTTTCTTCAAATCCATTTTTTCTAACTGCTTTACTAACTGTTCCCTTTTTTCATACTCCTTGGAGAGTTTAAAAACGTTTCCTCTTGCATCTCGGTAACTTAGTGCACCAGGGTAGATGTCGGGTCCATTTAGAATGAGTCGCTTCACATAATCTAAATTATTTTCCGTAATGCACTCATCCATAGTTAGTTTTTTTGCAAATTCCAAGGGAACTCCAATCTGATTGGTTTCAATAAAAGTGTCAGGGGATATAACTGTACGAGCACAATTGTTAACTCTTTTACCCATTATATTTTTTCTTAACATTCCTTCCTTCTTGTCTAGCACTTCTCTTAATCCTTGGTTGCTCATTTTTGCATCAGGCAAGTGGGCAGCGAACGTACCATCGAAAAAAGTATTCATGGCCACCTGCAAATTACTAAATAAAATATTTATATAAGCACTCTTGTTTCTAAAAATGAGGTCATAACTCCTTAAAAAATCGACCTTGGTAATTTCAGTGTCGTTATCCATGATGTCCACATTCAATTTGTATTTCATGCGGATCGAGAAAAGGGAAAACATTTCTTTATACAATTGGAGTTCTTTTTTATTTTTTTCAACGAGCTCCTCAAAATTAATTTCCTTCTTCGCACTGATACACAATTTAAGCAGAGCGTTGAATTTACTCAACACGTTCATCATCTTAGACTTCTTGTGGAACCCTCGCATTTTCACTCTGAATCTGTTTGCACTGATGCCCATGTCGTTGAGGAAAAACACTTTGTGTCCATCCCTCTTTGTGAATGGGTACAGCAGGTTCAAGATGTCCTGATCGTTTTTTTTAAAAATTTTTTGCAACAGGTCAATCACTTGGAAGCTGAACAGCCGCACCGTGCTCTTCTCCTTCACGTTCCGCTTCTTATAGTTCAGCGCCATGTCAGGGAGGCTCTCCCGCGCCGGCGTGCTCCCGTCATCCATAGCGGCATCCACAGCAGCGGCATGGACAGGGGTGGCAGCAGAAGCCATGCCCTCCTCATTGGCGCCTCCGTAAAAGTACTCCCCGGCCTCCTCCCTCTCTACCATCTCCTCCAGCTCCTCCTCGGCACCCACGGGGCCCTCGCCCTTCCCCCGCTTCTTCCCCCCCTGCATGTACTTTTTTAAAAACGAATTCTGAAGATACAATCCCACGAAATTAATGGTGTCCCTCTTCTGTGACATCCTAGATGATATATTTCTCTTGAACTTGCAGGACGGGCAACGCCCACTCCTTTTCATTATTACTTTGAGGGTCTTGGTGAGTTGCAGGTACTCCTCGTAGTTGTAGTTGGACTCAAAGGCCAGCTTGGTCGCATCGAAGTTGAATTCTTTAATTTTCTCCTTGAGCTTTTTTAAATGGACCTCGGCCCCCTCCCCCTCGTCCGTCTCACTGGCATAGTTCGGCTCGCCCGCTTCATTCACACCGTTCTTGCCGCTGGTCTCATCATGGCCGTTATGCTGCTCCGCTTCACAAACTCTCCGGTATAATTGTGCAATCTGGCCCACGATGTACTCCTTGTCGTAGCTCCTCTTACAAACGATCCTGTTGGAACTCTCGATCTCGTTCAGAGCCTTCAACTGGTAAATATGCTTTAACAAAAAAAAGGTATCCTCCGAGCAACACACCTTGTAGCAGTTCAAACAAACTAGGCCAAGCAACTCACACAAGTCTTTATAAAAAAGCGGGTTAAACAAAGGCAAGGTAAACTCCAAGTGACCTATATGACCTACACAATTCTCATGTCTCTCGAAACAGACACTACATATTTGTCTCGCATCTATGGTTCCGTATTTGGGGTCAAAAAATATTTTAGAGGTCACTCCACTGGAGTGCTTTTTTTCATATTCTAACAACTCGTTCTCGTACTTGCCGAGGGAAATCCTCCTCAACTCTTCGCTGCTCAGGACACCCAACTCGGCACTCCGCACCTCCACACTCACCGCCTTGTTGATGTCGTACATGGTGGGTCTTCACTCGGCGTAGTTGGGGGAGGGCGCACTCAACGTAGTTGGAGGTAGGCCGAGAATGGAGCGAGCTCAGTTATACGTAAGTGTGAAAAAAAAAAAAAAAAAAAAACAATCTCGGTCGGAAAAGACACAACCCCTATATGGAGCGTGCATCCGTGTATGTGATGAGATGGGGAGGGGGGGGACAAAGTCTTTTTTGGTTTTACACCCCAGCTGGAGTGCCACGGCTTCTCTTCAGAGCAATACGCCGCGCACGCGAATGCATATAATTTTCATATGCGTGATCGCGCCTTGCCCTCGTTGGGACTGGCAAAAAAAAGAGGAAAGAAAAAAAGATGCAGTGCCCCCTTTGTTCCCTGCACAAGCAGGGTTACCTAAAGAGTGGCGAAGAAAAAAAAAAAAAAAAAAAACAAAGGCCACTCTTTCCCCCCTTTTTCACACTCGTTAAAGCGTGTTCATACAAATAAGAATAACTCTACATGTCCCCATGCAATATCTCCTATGTAAAAACCCTCGCGGCTTGCGCAGGAAATTACATATGCGTCCGCGCCACATCCCAAATAATGCAGCGTAGCATTTTATACTTCTAACGTACGCACGTATATACCACGTACATACGCTCTAAACATGTTATAATTTTAATAATGGATGTCACGCAACATGATGAGGAAAAAAAAAAAAAAATTGATCTACAACAAAGGGAATTTTTTTTTTTTTTTTTTTTTTTTAAGGCTTCTCGCTGCGGCGCATATGCGGAGTAACGGTGATACTTTTTTTTAAATTGCCTTTTTTTTTTTTTTTTTTTTTCGTATCACCGATCGAAGGGGGGCGCTTCCTTTTTTTTAAATCCATTTTATGGAGAATCATCTCCTAATGCAGAATTGTACATACGCCTTTTCGAGTATGAAAAAATTAACGATCATGTAGATTTCTTTTTTTTTTTTTTTTTTTTCCCTTCCTACTTGAACCCCCCAGTTGTAACAACATGCCAGGGTTGTAGGGGAGGCACTTTTACATTCCCCGATGGGATGGAGCAGCGCCACGGGAAAGAGAAAAGAAAACTCAACTCTGTAGGTGCTGTGGACATAAGGTGGATCATGCGAAAGGTTCGATGTTGGGAAGGGGGAGGTATACTGCTGAGTTGTTAAGAGGAACGAGGAGGTTTGTACCACTTGACGTTCTTTTTTTCTCTTCTTTTTTGTTTCCCCCCCCACGCGTTCGCTTCAGATCGAGTCCAGAGCAGAAGTCCTTTCGGGTTAGGTATCACGCCCCCCAGTATGAAAATGAGCGCACTGGAGTGGGAGAGGCCACATCATACTCCCCACCCCCTGACGCACTTCTTTTCTTTTCTTTTATCAACATGTCCTTCTTCCCTTTTTTAAAATGTACATGTCTGGATGTGGTAACGGGCCAAGGCAACTCCACCATTTCGCACTTTACGAAAAAAAAAAAAAAAAAAAAAAAAAAAAAAAAAAAAAAAAAAAAAAGGTTTAACC